TGGGGAAAAAAAAAATTCGACAGATCGAACCATATGACTCGGCGGAAAAAAAAAAAACAAAGAACCATTAGTTGACGCTTTCTTCTTGAAAGATGATGTTCAGATGTTCCGTGTCAGCCCTTTTATGTCTCCGCATGCTGTCCAGACAGCTCACTTAAGTGGAAGCATCTACGGTAAGCCTCAATTAGTTTTTTTTGTCTACTGACAAAATGTCGACAGGAATTTGGGCGTTACATCCTCCCTATCTTCATCACCTCCCACCCTTTTTTTTTTTTTTTTTTTTTTTTCCTCTGTCCTCTTTTCGGGCTCTCTGCAGTGCACATCAATATTAATCAACCCCTAAAGCGGCTAGTTTCTCAAGCTGCATACGGCAAAATACTGCAGTCTGCTTGAACATACGTGTATACACACACCCACACACACACACACACACACACACACACACACACACACACACACACACACACACACACAGACACTACGGCCATTTTCAGATGAGTGCCCTGAATGAAGCTCGTCACCTCACTTGATTTAAATCGTCTTCAGTTTCTTGAATGGGCAGCCGTGATAAATGAAGGGAGAGCAGGGAACCGTGAATTAATGCCAGGCTACATCCGGACTTTCAATAATTTTGCTGCCCGCACTTATCGAAGTGGAAGGAAAGCAGGGGAATTATTCCACCGCTGCAGAGGTGGGCCCGGAATAAGGTCAGGTTCCCCCATTTGGGCCAAGTCGTGCAAAAATGACCCGGCTGTCCCAGTGGCAAGCACACCCGAGAGTACCAAAGCACAAACCAACCGACGAAAGAACGACAAGCGACAATCGAAACATCAACTGGTCGTGAAAGCGCATTGCGCAATCGTCTGCGGGATCTCTACATGCTTTTAGGTGTACTTTATTGCGGCGACCATGGCTTCATTATTTTTTTTCCTTTCATGATGCATCGCTTCCAGTCTCAGCATTGGTGCAACTTTTCATTGTGAGACGGTGCTCACGGAGCTTGCGGCTGAAGTCGGGGGGGGGGGGGGGGGGGGGGGGGGGGTGAAGTTTGCGCGTGTGCGGAAGGTGCTCGAAGGTGTTTTGCAGCATCTCTACGCAGTGGAGTGCTTGTTTAATGGTTAGTAGGGGTGAAGAAAAGCCTCAGGCTACTATGGAAAATAGCTGAAGAGAAGGTAATCGATTTCAGACACCCCAACCTCGTCCTGCTGGGTGACTTTGTGTACTTGTGTGTGAACTGTTTTCAACATCCAGCAATGAATGAATCTTTTCTTTCTTCCTTATCAAACTAAAAACGAATTTCTATGTATCGTTTTTTTTCCAGAAAGGTTCCAGGACTGGTGTGACAAAAGCCATAAGACGGTATTTCAAATCTAAACCAAAAGCGATTAAGATTTACCTTTCATTGCAGGCCAGAAGATCAACCAGGATGAGCATGAGTACCCCATTTTAAATCGGTGTCTGTAAAAAGGATCTGGTTGTCATATTTCTATAAATTGACAGGAGGCAAAATGTTTCTGCGGACTTCGGAGTTAATTTTGCTGCTGCCATCACGTGTTATATCAATGAAGATTAATGAGCCTGTTTCAGAAGAAGCCATGCAAGCCCAAGCCGTGACATTACCTCCACTTTGTTTCACAGATTAGCCTTTCCATCATTTTTGGGAAAGGTTACATCTTTGTCTCACTAGTCCATAAAACTCACCTCTGTACATTTTTTTTAGATTCCAGCCCCGGTGATCCTAATGAGTGTTTTGCATTTTCTCGTGTCCTTTATGTACTTTTGTTGAGCTTGATGACCTTCAGTCTCGCGCTCTGGTTTCTTTGTCGAATGGTTCTGTTGTCAATGACTGTTGTTTTTCCTTTGACGACGCCCTCAAAATCTGTTACTAAGAACAGTAGTAGTTTCTTTCTTTCTCAGGATATTTGGACGTATTTTGTGTATTTAACCCTTTCAAGCATAGACATGCTTCAAACTGAATTGATAGAAAAAATCAACCGCATACAAATTTGATGTCAAAATAGCATGAAGGTGTCATTGGAAATTTTCCTGCCACGCTTTGACTATTAGGTTCTGTTGTCGTCTGTGCTTGCTTGAATTGACACAAGCTGGACTGAAGTATTACTTTCTTATCAGCTTTGCATGGGTGTGCGCGTGTGAAGGAAATCGACGGGGGAAGACATATGACATGCATGTCTCTAATGTGGCGCTCGAGTCCGAGCAGACATTGCGCGCGGCGCTCCACTGAGCTGAGGAGAAATCGAGTCGATGAGGGAAGAAGGATGGAGAAAGGAGCTCGATGATGTGAAGAGATAGATGGGAGGATGGATGGAGGGAGTGCGAGAGGGGGAGAAGGCTGGATAGCATGATGGAGCTGATAGCAGAAATCATTTACCAGCGCAATTTGTTGACAAGGATCTGGGAATGTCTCAATGTGTCAGCGTCTCAGTCACTTTGATGGATGATGGAAGTTCACCGTCTCTCTCTCTCTCTCTCTCTCTCTCTCTCTCTCTCTCTCTCTCTCTCTCTCTCTCTCTCTCTCTCTCTTTGACAGCGTGTTTTCAGCCTCAGACGCCAGCTGAGCAAAACGGTTTCCCACATAGTGAGGGTATAAGGGTATATATATATATATATATATATATATATATATTGAGAGAGAGAGCTAGCTAGCTAGCTCGCTCGAGATATACTATATATATATCTCTATATATAGATGTATTTATAGATACATATATCGAGAGAGGGAGAGAGAGAGAGCGCGAGCGTGCATTTCGTTGCCTTCACATAACCATTAAAATGTATGTTTATGTGTTTGTCTTCACATTTTCGCTGCGGGTCAAATGCTGTAAGGTTACAAAGCCTATTGATGGGGTCCCTTGTTTGAATTAAGATGACTTGCCTTGGGGCACAACTCCAACCCAGTATCGACTGCGTCGAGATTAGCAAGGAAAGGGAAATCTGAGCAAAAGGCGCATCAAAGGGTGCAAAATAGAGCAGTTGTGTTATCCTGTCAATTTTGGGACAAGTTTGAAATGTTTCGAAATACAAGTAGTCAGTGTTTTCGTCGGTCAAGATCAATGCATGCGTTTTGTATTTTGTTGTCCTGAACTAGACGTGCTGCAAATACACGTTAAATCGCCTCAACAATAATTACATCAATCACGATCATCATCTGCTTCCTTTGACACCTACCGCGCTAAATGCTATTTGATCGCTTTCCTCGCATTTGGCGTGAGCGTTTATTTCGCAATCTTAAATGTTGTGTTTGAATAATTCAACATTAAATTGACTTTTATCTTTGCTTTTACCGCCTTATTGGCTTGCTTAACGTATGTGTTTAGTGCTAATGCTACTTAATGTGCTAATGGTGTGCCTTTCTCGCCACATTAGCGCATTAGCTAGATGTGGTTGTTTTGAAAGCCGTCGTGATAATTATATATCATCAGTCATTGATCGTAAATAGTGCGTAAGACATTGAGAGGATTTCAATGGACAATGGATACATTTTGAGGGGTAAACTTTTAGCATCTGTGAGTTAATCGTTACCGTTATAAACGGAGTGAGCTCTTAAGTTTCTCCGTAATTGGTTGAAACTGTCTAATTTCTGCTTGAAAATAGGAAAGCATTAACAAAGCATTGCCCACCTCGTAGAGGCTCAGCGGTATCGTAGATAAATAAATGGGCACTCGCATCTAAATCTACCACCTATGCGAAGTGTCCCACTTGATTATCGGTGTTTCACCTCGGTCTCGCCGCCGGCGGGTTGTTGTTTTTTTGTTTTCCATTCGTACGAGCCGAAGCAAACCCTAATTTGAGCGTAACGATTCTTTGCCCGCGGACTCGATGGTGACTCTCAGCCAGATCCAGCAGTGCAACAGTCTGCGAGCCATTGGCAAACTGCTTTGTTATGCTCGATGCCATCAATCTCTATGCATGAGAATGGCCAACTTCAATACCGCTATTGATTGTGGAAACCTTTGAAAACGGCTAAGGTCAAAGCTTCATCCTTCCTCAAAAAGTTGCCGAGATTGATGATTACATTTTTAAGCCATATTCCATTAAGGTTTGAAGCAGTGCGGAAGAATGGTGGCTTGCTCATATGTCAGATGGATTCATCATCATTGGTCGGAGGAAATTATTATCCTGCGGGCATGTAAATTAGAAGGAGAGCCTGGACGGGGGTGAAAGAGCATGTTATTCATGATAGACCGAGTAAGAGGAAACATTACTAAAGCAGGTGAGAAATATGAGGACAAAATGGGCCAGAAACAAAATTTGGACAAGAAAGATTTGAATCTTCAGCTGCGTTTCTCATCGAATGTGTGTTTTCCATTCATTCCAGTTTATCCACATCTAATTTTGTATTTTGTGCAGAAGTGATTAGACAAAAAAAACACGCGCGCGCACACACACACACACACACACACACAGGAAACAAGACAGCACAAAAAAAGTGGGAGACCGCATTAAAAGTAAACTTTGATATCAGGAAGTGGGCCGCAAATATCATCCGGTGTCCCCCGGGCCACAGGTTTGAGACCTTTTTTTGTTTCACAGCAAGTAACTATAGCAGCCAGCCGGTTGATCGACACAGTAGCTAGTTAGCAGCGAGTGCTCGTTGCTAACGCTTGCAGTCAATCACAGCCTTCAGCCTTCAAATCTTCAATACGCTCCACTCCCCCTCGCGGCGACCTCGTTAGTCAACTCCTGGCTCAACGTTGCATCATTTGGAGTTTGCGTGGCACTGAAATACTCTGCAATTGAGAGACTTGTTATTCCTTACTTTTGGGGTAGGTTGAAGTTTTCTTCTTCTGAAGTGTTTTAGCAGTTGGCAAACAATTTTTAGTGGGCAGAAGTGCACTGTTTTGAACCGACGGCCACTTTCCAGAACCCTTTGGCAGAATTCGAAATGGACAAACATTTTGTGCCTTTGAAATATGAGGTGCCACAGTTAAGTGGACAACATCATGTTTCTAATTTCCATCCTCCTTTCTCTCTTGCAGGGTAATCAAGAGGTCCCGGCGCCCCCTGAAGCAATGGCTCAAGCCTTCCCACCCGCCCAGTACCCTCCTCCACCACAGAATGGGATGCCCGCTGAGTATGCCACACCCCACACTCACCCGCCAACTGACTTCACAGGACCAAATACGGTTGGCGAGCACGCCCTGACGCTGTACACGCCGACGCACACGCAGAGTGAACAGCCCGTGAATGACAGCAGCGTCCCTGCACTCACAGCCAACACAGTAACGGTGAGTCAACCACTGCAAACAACAAATTACTAAGATCCTTTTCAGGATTGTTCCATTGGCATCAAATTTTTGTAGGACTAACCATTTACAGAACATGTTGAGTATCACTACAGCGTCTTTATGTCAGACATGCAGGTTCAAAATGGATTAATATAGCGATGTGTCGGAATTCAAACACAAAACTCCTCTGCAATGGAAAAATTAACGTGAGGTTTTGCTGAAAGGCAGTTTTCAAAATTTGCAGTTTGAATGTAAGGCTCCATCCATCCTGTGTGGAGTTTGCATGTTCGACCCAAGCTTGGATGTGTTTTCAAACAGTACTGCAGCTTCGGCTCCCATTCCCCCCAAAAGAAGCTTTCGATTTGACTTGAAATTTTCCTGAGGTGTGACTGGTTGTTTGTCTTGCCCCATGATCGCTTGGCAAACAGCATCCCGCCTCCCCTCCAAAAGTCAGCTGGGTGGATGGATGGTGATTTATACAATCAGATCTTTCCACTGCTGGGTATGATGCGTTTTATAATCTGGTGCAACCTAGCACGGCTAAAATGCTCTAACCCTAATTGCTATATTCCAGTTTCGTCAAATGTTTGATTTACAAACAGACGTCTTCTTCCGAACAGTTCACTTGAGTTGCCAAAATGCACACCGTGGTCCAAAGTAGTACATGGGAAGTCAAGTTGGGAAAGAGCTGATACAGGCACTCACGCTTGTGGGGCAAGCAGATCCAGCAAGTCAAACCAAGTCCAAGATCTCCAGCTGAAGGCTGAACTTTTCTCGCAATGTTCTTTTATAATCGAAGATGCTGTCCGTTTCCGATAGAACCGCAGCTCTGGCAGTATGCGCACTAACTAACGTCTTATGGGACCGCAGTTGTTTAATAGGACTGCAGCATTGCTCTGCCGTCGCTTTCGAACTCGGTCTCCTGAAAGATTACAAACCGGTCAGTCTGACACCTATATCCCGGAAGACTGACTTGGAGTGCGTTAAATGTTTGCACTAAGTCAGCCATTTTTCTCAAAAAAAAAAAAAAAATTGAAAAAAATGTTCTTGTGATATGTTGCAATGTCAGCAAGCAATCCTTGACCCAAATGGTTTGTTTTTCTTTCAGTTTTGCTTGCTTAAAGATGGTTTCTCAGGGGAAGCTGTGTGGAGAGAATGTTCTCCTCACCACAGTTACAAGGTAGACGATTGCTTGATTTGAATGCAATTTTTTTTTTTTTTTTTTTTTTTAATAATCCAAAGATTTCATTCATGTGCGGCGCGCTGCTCACCTTTGAAGCCAACCGGGTTTTAAGATAATTGATACGGCGAGTTGAGCTCAAGTGCTTTTGTAGTGGCGGGTGGTACACTGGGAAGCCTGCAGGGAGTCAATGAAGCCTTTCTTGTTGACTCTGGGACTGTCTTTCTGAAGTCTCTCAGAAAGCGAGCTTCGGCAACATAAAACGTCGAACTTAAAAAAAGTCAAAAGTGCCCTATCCTGAGGGATCCTCTGAAATCTGGGATAATGCATGAAGTTTAAAAAAAAAAAAAAGTCAAAAGACAACCAGAAGATGTGCCCAAGAAAAAGATTCTATTTAATATGATTTTCAGCTTTTGGACTTTGCACTGTAACAAGTGACAAAGTATAAAACAATCGGAGAAACATAGATTTGCAAAGACACACGTCCGTGGCTGAGCATGACCATTCTGCAACCACCACTCATCGAAAGAACTCTCAGAGCCGCCGGGAGTCGTGCATGCTGGGAACGTATGGCAATATGTGCAGCGGAGCTGGTGACCGGCGTATTTTCCGAAAGAAATCTGTCGACTCCCCGACCGTGTGACCACAGGGCCGTTTTAACTTTTTGAAGTTTCACTTTCTTCGAGACACCGGAGAAGTGAACATTTGAAACGCACTCTTTCTTTGTTTTCGTGCCGAGTCGCCGTGTTGATCATTACCCGCCTGTGTCGTTTGGCCGATGTCCCGCTGAGCTCGCATCCGCTCTCACCTGCTCATTGGGAACAATGTAAATTCGCAGCTGGGATCGAATCGGGTTTATAGGCAGGTGGGGTTGTTTAGGGCACTTTGGGATCCGTGGGGGATTATGTGTGCATGCATATGACCGTGTGTGGAATTCTAAAGCTTAAGCCCCCCTCACTCACACACATCGGCATAATATTCAACTCGGTGTCACCGTTTCCCCGGTGACAGCGAAGCAAGTTTGGTCTGCTTGTGTATGATAATGTTCGTTTAATTATTGCCTCGCCATCCCTGGCTGCTCTCACACTGTGGATGGCGCAGGCAACTCAACCCAACCCAAGAGCGACAAGAGAAAACGTATAGATTTGAGCTCTGCGACAGAGGCCGAGCAGAATTAAGCTTGGAATGCGATCAGTTCCATGTTTGGTGTGTCAAAAACGACCGCCTGGCTTTATTAGCTAACACACACACAAACACGTACTCACACATGCGGGCACACACATTCTATATGGTGAATTCCATTTGAATAGGTTCAGTGACTGATGTTAAAATTGAGACTTTTAGTTCCCTATTTTCATGTGGGGGTTTTTTGTTGTTATTTTCGTGGACGGGCGAAGTTAGAAATGTGGTTTGCGCCGTTGTGGGAGTGAACACAGCCAATTGAATCGTATTCCCTTTAAATTCAGCACAGGTGAGGCACACAGGCTACATGGCAGAACAGAACGGACTCGCTCGCTGGAGTGCATGCAGAAGATCGGGGCACACGACGCATGTTTATATAGAATTGCAAGAAGCGCTGGCGGGGTGCTTTTAAACATATATTAAAGATGATGATGATAATAATAATGGATTAAATAGATTGATTTCTCCACTGATTCAGAGGGTTCAATGCACGATGATGTCATACTTGAATGGAATGCAATGATATCCATCTTAGATAATAGCAGAGAGCAGAATGTGTTTGCCTGTGCCCGGATCAAATCCACCAAAATTGCATTAGACCACTTGCGCCACAACTTAGACCTGGTTTCACGTAGTCTAAAGTCCGGTTTACTTTCTGTCACTAAATCGGCAGCTTTGCCAGGGGCATGTCATAGAAAATGCACTTGGTTAGATTCGTCAGTTTGAGACGCACGTGCGCCTTTCTGCGAAAATTGAGCCCTTCGACTTGAGTAAACAGACGACGTCCCAAGTAAATGAAAATGATGTGCCTCAAGGTAGCAATGTTCAATTTCTCTTTCCACCCTGGTGAAGCTGCATTTTGTTTTAATAGTTTCATTCAACTGGAATCCAAAATGTTTTGTCCATCGCAGAAAGCTAACAAAATGAATACTAATAACCGGGAGGTTGGCCAATTGGAGTTGTGTGACTAAAAAAATACAGTCAGCTCGGACGAGTTCTTTGTCAACTGACAAACTGACTGTCAGCATTCACGTCAACACACCTCGGTTATGTTTTTTTTTACATTTTCCGGAATAACTTAAAGGAGACATTTTGTGCAATTTCTTTAGTCACGAATCCGTGACGGTATTTCAAGACATCACACTGTTAGAACGGGCCGGATAAATTTCTCTCTCGCCTCTATTTGCGTTCTGTCGCTCGTTCTTTCACATGAATGCACGCGTGAGGGACAAGACCCCTGTTGAAGCCGCTGTTTTCGCGAAACTGGTGTTGGGAATGAAATTGCACATCAAGTAGGCAGTCACGGTGAGACCCACATACCTGATTATTGTGCATTATAGCGCCATAACTATTCAACTTGTGTGTGTGTGTGTGTGTGAGTTGGTGTGTGGGCACTTGCACATGCGTGTGCCAGCGTGGCTGTATGTGTGAGAGAGAGCGAGTGATGGAATGCCATTATTCTCATGTCCCCGTCTTTCCGTTTTTACCGTTCTCTCTCCAGTCAGCACTTGCCTCTCTGAATACTTCCGCGCCCGCCACTCATCCAGCGCCAGTTCTCTCTCTCTCTCTCTCTTTCCCTCCATTCTTCAGCTTTTCTTTCCGCCACTCTGTACTTCTCTCTTCCCCCGTCTCGTTGGCTCTTGCGACAAATGCTGCTACCTTCAGCACTTCTCTCTCATTGATTGGAGGCCGGATAAGCTGACATCATCTTTCCATCTTGGGGTGTTGCCCTTATTCTTTCACTCTTCCTTTTTCGTCTCACCTTCACGTCGGTCGGGTTTCTTTGCTGCAAATATTTTGAAACGGGGCAAGCAACAAAGGATAAAGCAACGTACTGTAACGTCAATCCGTCTTTTGGTCCCCTCTTAGTTTTGAAGTGGGCGTGCTAGAATTTTGTCGGTGAAAGTAGATACCAAGGAATCTTAGAGAAACCAGTTGTAGATAATCTGCACAAAAAGGTCACTTTCTTGTTTTTGCTAAAATTACCTATTTGTATTAAAACAATCATTTTTCTCATTAAGTTGCAAACCAGAGTAGTACTAGTAGTATTTTTATAATACTACTCCAACAAATGTTGATTACAGTATGTCATTACTGCAGTTCTCTGGAGAGCAATCATTGGACTCCATTGTGTTTAAATCCCCCGAGCGACCGTGTTGGTACCTAAACAGAAAGGCAACCAAAAAAATGTATAATGTGAAAGTTTGCATCACATTCTGGGAGCCGCCGCAGCAAAGGATGCCATATTTTTCATCGCGGCACGCATGTGGAAGGTACAAAGAAAATAATCATGGAGCCCAGATGATGAGATCAAATTACCAAAAATAAAAAATAAAAAAAACTTGATTCAACTCAGTAAGGTCGGAACCACTTGGACCGCCGACGGCTTTGTAATGCGTCATGTGAGCGACGGGCCGGGATGTCCGCTGACTGATCGAAGCTAAAAAAAAAAAAAAAAAAAAAAAAATCTGTGTTTGTTAGGATCAAAGCTCCTATCAATTACAGCAAGGTTGCGGTCCCACGAATCTTTAAGAAAGCAGCCGCAACACCGGCTGAAGAACCCGAGGCTTTAATTAGAGCCGCAGTGTTTTGTTTTTATTTTGCTGTGCTTTGCTTTGCTTTCGGATGGACAATGGATTAAACGGATTAAAAACACTGCAGAGGGGTTGAGGAATTCTTGTGAGATTTGGACATGCATGGTTGAAATCCCTTTCTCCAAAATATTTCAAGAGGGGGGGAAACATCCTTATCATGCTGTCAATGATATTTAAAAAAAAAAAAAAGTTATCCTCTCAGTTTCTCTCATCATATCATCCATCCACCATCCATTTTCTGATCGGCTTATCCTCACAAGGGTCGCTCGCGGGTGTGCTGGAGCCTATCCCAGCTGTCTCGCGGAAGTAGACGGGGGGGGGACACCCTGAACTGGTTGCCAGCCAATCGCAAGGCACACAGAGACGCACAACCATCCGCGTTCACACTCACGCCTCGGAACAATTTAGAGCGTTCCATTAACCTGCCACGCATGTTTTTGGAATGTGGGAGGAAACCGGAGTACCCAGAGAAAACATGCAAACTCCACACAGGAAGGCCGGAGCCGGAATCAAACCCTGCACCTCTTGCACTGTTAGCCCGACGCGCTATCCAGTCAACCAGTGGGCCTCATCATATCATGAACTCACTGATTTCATTCAACTGGATTAAAATCTCACACGCTGTACCGGATAGTCGCCGCTCGCGCACAGAGAGCAAGCTGACGTCAGGACCTTAGCACGGAATCTTTTTGTAACCGCTCCAAAGCATCTCAAAAACAGAAATTCAACGCAGCAGGCAGGCGGACTGAATGCATTGCATGTTGTCACTTTTGTGCCTTGCTTGATGACGTGGTTTCTGATGGACCAACGGTCTTGCGACAAATACAGGCTGTTTGCAGTATATCACTGGAAAAGTCACGCCCCAGTGCATGGTATGCCAGAAAATGAGGCTACGCTAGGAATGGACCTTTTTTTTTGCAGATTCGGAATTTATTCTCAGCATTCCTTGACCTTCTGCGTTCTGTGTGCTTCTTTGCAGCAGATAGACGACGTCACACAGACGGAGGGTTCGCAGCAGCTTCACCTGCAGCCGAGTGACTCGTCAGAGAAACAGCAGCCCAAAAGATTACACGTCTCCAACATCCCTTTCCGTTTCCGGGACCCTGACCTGCGGCAAATGTTTGGGGTAAGATGGGCCACCATGGACGCATGATTGTTCTGTACCGTCTGCCGTTTTTGGTTTCACAAAAGCAGACAATCGGGTTCCGCGTTGATCAAAACTTAACGACATAATAACATCAAGAATGTGAGTTGTGTGCCTTGAATTAGTTTGCGAGGCTCTCGTCATCAAACTAAATAATTCACACCCTTACCTTTGCGTGGCCCTTCACCCAAATTAGGCTGGCTTTATTAATGTTTCATCTCGCATGTCTGTCTTTAAGTGGTCCTCCAAAAGTCAGAGTGGTTGGTAGCTCGCCTATTGTATGCTCCACTTGCCTTTACACGTGTAAAAGAAACCTTAAGTGAAGACTTATTGCAGGGGATGCAAACTGTACTGACGGATGTGTTTTCAGATCATTTGATGAGATGAAACCTTGGGTTAAATATAAACCTGCCTCATTATATCGTTGCGTCCTGCCAACTTTGTCGTGAGTGTTTTTCTGCACCGAAGCCTTTGCAGGGCAGATGTTTGGTTGGATCACAGCTGTAAAACTGAAGACCGTTCGTGTCCTTGCTTCTCAGCAATAGATGTTGGGCATGAAAGCTGACGTAACACGACGGCGCATTTCTGATTGGCCGGTATATCTGGGACGTTGCGATGCCATTCATTGGGGATTTTTGAATCATAGCAAAATTAGTACCCGGCTGTTGGGCCGAACCTCACAACCTGCGCGACACTCCCCTTTCAGGGACAGCGGTCACTACAGTGGACAGCTTATCATGTTATCGGGTGACCGGATGCATGAAAGGGTTAAAACATATCCGTGTGCATGATGCGGCGGCCTGAATACAGCACGCAATATCGTCATTGCCGCCGTTTTCTGTATCCATAGAACACAAACACGCATATTATTGTACCAAGC